CTATGTCCCCCAAAAGCTGATGTTGGGGAAACTTAATTCCCTGATGTGGTAATGTGGGGTAAAGGAGAGTTAGGTAGTAAGGCTTCACCCTCAGAAATGAGTTAATGCTGCTTTTGCTGGACTGAGTTAGTTCTAGGAAGGCACTCCCTGTCTGGAGTGTGGGCTCCTCTGGGGCACCCGTCCTCATGCAAATCTCTCTACGTGGTGTGCTCTCCTTCTGTCACGTGACGCTCCCAGAGCCCCAGCAGATGCTGTGCCATGCTCCTGGACTCTTTAGCCTCCGACCCGTGAGCCAAATACACTGTTCTCGATAAATCAGCTAGTGTCAGATGTTCTGGGGCAGCAACAGGAGAATGAACCCAGGCAAATCGGTGACTGCACCTTCCCTGTGTCAGGAGGGGCGTGTGAGGTGGGTGGGGCCTCTTATCCAGAGTCAGCTGTTCCTAGCAAGGTAAAGTGGGGAGAAGGAGGGAACCTAATGACTCCTCCCACAGGTGAATTCTCAGAGAAACAAGCCCAATGGCCTCCCCTGTATGACTCCTCACTCTGGGTCCTGCTGGAAGCCGGGTCTGGAGTGGCCACCCTGCCCAGCGCTCCCTGTGCTGTGTCTCAGGGATGACAAGAGAAGGCACGAGCAGCCTTCACTAATTATGGGGTGGTATCCATCTCTGTTGCTGCTGGAACAGCTGCTGGGTGGGCCGCAGGTAATCCCTGGGCACCCAGCCCCTCCCTGGCATCTTGGGAAGTGATCTTGCCCTAGAACATCTTGGTCTCCCAGAGGCACCTTCTTCTGCAGGGTGGACTCTCCCAGAACGTGGGCAGTGAAAGGCAGAGCCTTAGATGTTGGGCCCAGGAAGCTCACCCTACAACCCAGGCCTACCCAGGCTATGGGATTCTCATTCTAGTAAAGTGGTTAAAAACAAACAGGGTTGGGGAGATGGCTCACCGGCAAAGAGCTCTTGCTGCTCTTGCAGAGGACTGGAGTTCCGTTCCCAGTTCACACATCTGATGGCTCATAATCTCTTATAACTCTAGCTCCAGGAGATCTGATGCCCTATTCTGGCTTCTGCAGGTACCCACAAACATGTGGCATATAAATAAAATTGTATCTTTAAACAAACAAATGACTGAAGGGACAGTTCAATGGATAATAGTTCTTGCTGTGCAAATGTAAGGACCAGAGTTCACATCTCCAGCACCCATGTAAATGCTGGGTGGGTGTGGCAGCCCACCTGTAATTCCAGCGCACAGAGGGCAGAGAGGAGATCCTCAGAGCAAGCTGGCTAGGTAGACTAGCTGAATCAGTGAGCTCTGGGTTCGATTGAGAGACCCTGCCTCAATCTATAAGGCGAAGAGCTATCAAGGGAGACAGCCAAGGTTGATCTGTACTCTCTACACACATGCACACATATGTGCACCCAGACACATATGAACAAGCGCACACACATGCATACCACGCACATACATATACAAAGGAAGAAAAGAGAGAGAAAGCATTACTTAAAAAAAACAAAGGCCAGTGAGCCGGCTCGGTGGGCAAAGGCATTTGACACCAAGCCTGATGACCGAGTTCGATCCCTAAGGATCCACATGGTGGAAGGAGAGAACCAACTCCTGCAAGTTGTCTTCTGACCTCCGCATGCATGCGGTGGCACACATGCACACATAATAAATAAATAAATATAAAAAACCAAACAGATAGAGAAAAAAGGGAAAAAAGCATTAGAGGAAATCACTATAGATGACCGACATTCGATCTTGCCAAATAGAACCACGAAAAAAAATCAACCCCCCACTTGCTATTTGGAAGGAGGAGGCAAGTTGTCTTCTGACCTCCGCATGCATGCGGTGGCACACATGCACACATAATAAATAAATAAATATAAAAAACCAAACAGATAGAGAAAAAAGGGAAAAAAGCATTAGAGGAAATCACTATAGATGACCGACATTTGATCTTGCCAAATAGAACCACGAAAAAAAATCAACCCCTCACTTGCTATTTGGAAGGAGGAACAATCCCCACCCCCACCCCAGGAGGATGCACAGAGCCCCGAGCAGGGGCTGCTGGCCTGGCTTCTCATGTGGTCAGGAGTGGACTCATAGGAAGTCACTGCCTCTGTATGCAGTATTACCTTTGGAGAATTGAACCCAGGGCCTTGATCACGCTAGGTAGGTGCCCTACCCCTGAGCTACATCCCCAGCCTCTGTTGCAAAATCTTTTCAGGTGCCTCTGCTGAAGGCCTAGACAGTGGAAATATAGCCTAAGGCTGCGGGGCAAGCTGCTTCTGTGGGTAAAAAATGGGAAACAGAGTAGCGTGGGGTGGGCCAAGGCCATTCTTAGACATTTATACAAAGCAAATACTTTGTAGTCATTAAAAATGACGTTAGAGGCACTGGGGAGACTGCTCAGTGGTTAAGAGTACAAGTTGCTCTAGCAGAGGACCCGGCTTTGGTTCCAGTACCACTGTGACAGCTAACAACCATCTGTAACTCCAGTTCTGGGAGTTATAGACTGACTCCCTCTTCTGGCCTCTGCAGGCATTGCATGACACAGGTATATACATACATAGGCAAAACACTCATACGGGGCTGGCTATTGGGTAGGAAGGATGATGTTTTGATAAGCCTTGGAGAAATCAAGGCTTAGGATTGAACTGAGCTCTGAGAGGTCCTGTGGCAGGAAGCCAGTCATATCTGTGTGAGGTTGTCAGCTGAGGGTGTTGATACTAGACTGAAGCTGATCTGTTAGGGTAGAGTGCAGAGAAAAAGATGCAGACAGGAAGACTGGACAGAGGCTGGAGCACAAGAGGGAGGTGTGGGACATGATAGATAGAGACCAGAGGGGCAGCAGGCCAGGAGAAGCTACGCTCTAATAAACCTAACCTTCCTTCTTGACAAATCAGCCAGTGTCAGGTGTTCTGTTATAACTACAGAAGCTGAACTAAGACAGTTGGTGGTAGCAGCCACAGCAGCCCTGAAGGCAGCTGGGTGGCATACGTGAAAGACGGCCAAGTTTGTGATCATTGGGGTGAATGTTGTCTTCTCTTCTTTATTTTTTAAAATTTATTTTTATTTTATGTGTATGAGTGTTTGCCTGCATGTATGTAAATGCTCTTATGCATACAGTGCTCACAGAGATCAGAAGAAGGTGTTGGATCCCCTGGAACTGGAGTTATAGATGGTTATTAGCTGCTATGTGGGGGCTGGGAACTGAACCTGGGTCCTCTACAAGAGCAGCCAGTGCTTTTAATTACTGAGCTATCTCTCCGGTCCCTGGCTTCCATTTTCTAAGCACTGAGGTCTGCTGCTTGTTGCCCAGTGTGGATGTTTTGTAGGGTGACTGGAATTTGGAATTCCTAAACCAAAAATAGTCCATCATTAGCATTCAATCAAGGACTCAAAATAAGTTGCTTTCTTAAGAAATCTGATGGCCACACCACCTTGCAAAATTCCGGTGGTGGACACAGCTGCATAGCCTGTGAGGGTTCCAGTCTCGTCACCAGGCACCATGGATGCGGAAATATTTTAAATCCACAGAATCTGGAATGAGCAAATCTTAGCTGTGTGCCCAGGACAACGATATACCGTGCAACTCCAACTCATGGTGGGATCCGGACCACAACTGTCCCCTCAGCTGTTCCCTTTGCCCCTTCTTACAACCCAAGTTCCTCCTCCACCCCACAGGCACTTCCTGTTCTGACTTCCTATAAATGGTTCTGTGTGGAATGTTGTGTTACTTTTCTGTTGTTGAGATAAAACACCATGACCCACAGCAACTTATTTTGGCTCATGGCTCTAGAGGGAGAGTGTGTTATGGGAGGGGTGGCTTGGCAGCAGGTGGCTTGAGCAGGAAGCTGAGAGCTCACATCTTCTATTGCAAACAGGAAGTAGGGAGAGCAAATTAGAAGCAGGGTGAGGTTATGAGCTCTCAAAGCCCGCCCCCAGTGACACACTCCCTCCAGCAAGGCCACATCTCCTGAAGATTCCATGACTTTCCAAATAGCCCCACCAACTGGATACTGAGGATTCAAATACCTGAGCCTAGGGCGACAGTTTTTCATTCAAACCACCACAAACATGTTCTCCCAACCCTGGTTTCCTTAGCACGGCATTGTGTGTGTAAGATCCGTCCATGATCTGGCCTGGCTTGGTAATTGCATCTGTTTGGGTTTTTTTTTTTGGCTGAGTCTGGGAACTGATCGCAGTTGTCCCCTTTTATCTGAAACCTCATTTTCTACACCTTCAGTTCTAGAAACAACTCCTAAGGTGCATGATGGAGCGTCACACCATCTTGTCCTGTCCTTTCTAGGAAACAAGTCATTATCCCTCTGTGCCCGCGGTATCCATGCTGTATACGTTGACTGCCCATTGGTCATTCTGTTGCTGTCTTAAGTTGTCAGTGGATTCAGTTAACAACCAGGATGGACTGTCTTGGTGAGGCAGTGTCTAGGGTTCAAGGACTTTACCTCCAATCTGGCCCCATGATTGCTGCCTACACGTGACCAGGAGCCTTTGCAAACACAAGTGTTTTCATGCTCTTGCGTAAATAGCTAAGGTGGGATGACTGATCTATGAGAGGCGCACATTTGGCCTTTCCGAAATGTGTCATCTTCCATAATGGTGGAGCGGTTTTTAGTTCCCACTGGCACTGGAGGGGCTGCCCAGCTGCCCCACGTCGCCTTCCGATGTCCGACACAGTCGATCTGTGGCTTTTCCTGGCGGCTCATTCCCGTGTACAGATGGAGTTTCCCGGAACCTTTGTGCTTAACGTTGGCTGTGTGCCGTGTGTTCCAGAATCCAGCATCTGTTTGCTGTTGTATGTTTTCCCAGCATCCCTTTCTCGCCAAGAATGAGAGTGGGTGGGATGGTAGAGTGGGGGGGCTTTTAGGGGAGGCTTGGACAGCTATTGGGACAAGGGACTAGGTTCCTTGGGTCTTGGAGCCCTGCTCAGAGCCCTGCCGGTAGCTGTGCCCATCTGGGTCTCTCTCTTCCCACAGATATTGGCCCGGTGACCCTCACGGCAGACCCAGTGGTGTTCCAGAGGGAGCTGAGAGAACTCTACGTTCAGGTGGGCTGTTTACCCTCTTTGTTTTTCTTGCCATTCATGACAGAGCCCAAGATCTTTGTCCCACCCAGGATGGCGGCCTCCTCCCTTCCTGCCCTCCCCCTCAGCTCAGCATGTGGCCTGTACCCCAGCTTTGGGCAATGGAGGCCTTACCCATGGAACTCTTTTCTTCATTCAATGAAGCAATCGACTTCCAGAGCCCCATGCTGGGGGCATGGTAGGTGCTATTTAGTGAATGAGTGAGGGGGAGATTTTGATCCCGTTGATGGTATGTATGGAAGCCCAAGAGCTTGAGAGACAACTCAGTTCGGTCCTCTAAGCCGCGCCTGAGCCTGAGTCACATGTCAACGGGTGTTTGGATGGCTCTTCCTCATGGAACACCTGGGTCTAGAATTTGTCCTTTCCCTGACTGCTGAGGCTCTCTGAGGCGGCCAGCTGTCTGAAAGCAGAGACTCCACAGGTGGGGGCTTCTCTGCTGGATCCTCCAGGGCCAGGATGGAGCCTCAGCACAGCACTGGATAACCATGAGTCCTTGGATGAGCCAGTGGAGGCTTGCTTCAAGGAGTCGGATTCCGCTGTCGCAGGCTGTTGCAAACATGTCCCTGTCACACAAAAGCTCAGCGCGCTGCGAGGCAGGGAGGGTGGGAGTCCTGGGGGACTGACACCAGGGCACGGAGGGCTGTAGAGGCAACTTCTGAGTCTGTCCTCTTGTTCCACTCACCCTACTCCAGTCTGCACCTTTACCCTTAAGCCTTGGCTGTAACAGGGCTGCTTGGGGCTGTCTACAGTGCCTCCCGACCCACCCTGGTAATTAAACACTTGGGAACTGGGGGAAATGGCTCAGTCGGTAGTGCCTGCCACACTGGCATCCATATAAAAAGCTGGGTTTAGCCTGGCCTGGTGGTGCACACTGTTAATCCCAGTACTTTGGAGTCAGAGCCAGGCTGATCTCTTGTGAGTTGAAGGCCACCTTGAAAGTCTCACCCTAGCCTAGATGGTGAGACTTTGCCTAAAAACAAACAAACAAACAAACAACAAACAAAGGGGATGGAGAGGCGGCTCAGCAGTTAAGAGCACTGGCTGCTTTTGCAGAGAACCAGGGTTCAGTTCCCAGCACCCACATGGCGCTCACCCTAGCCTAGATGGTGAGACTTTGCCTAAAAACAAACAAACAAACAACAAACAAAGGAGATGGAGAGGCGGCTCAGCAGTTAAGAACACTGGCTGCTTTTGCAGAGAACCAGGGTTCAGTTCCCAGCACCCACGTGGCAGCTCACAACCATCTATAACTCCAGTGCCAGGGAATCTAACACCTTCTTCTGGCCTCTGTGGGCGCTGACTGCCTGGGTGCACTTGCATACATGCGGCAACACACTCACACACATTTAAAAAAAACTAAATAAACAAAATTAAAACCAACAAATATGCGAAATGCTGGGCATGGTGATGAATGCTTGTGATCCCAGCACTGAGGAGGCAGAAACAGGAGGGTCCCTGGGGCTTGCTGTCTGGCCAGCCTAGCAGGGTCAGTGAGCTCTAGGTTCAGTGAGAGACCCTGCCTGAAAAAAATAAAGTGGGAAGAGATTGAGGAAGACACCCAAAGTTGAGCTGTGACCGCCATAGATACTCATCAACACAGGCATGAATACCCACACAGGTGTGCACGTACACACGTACAGACACACACACACACACACACACACACACACACACACTTGTACAGGGCTTGCTGGTACTTCAGCTGCTCCATCCCTGTATTCCACATGTTCCACAGGCTGGGACTGTAAATCACACAGGGAACAGAATGGATACCACTTTTTCCAGGGTCTCCCTGTAGCTCCAGTTGGCCTTGAACTCGCTAGGTAGACCAGACTGGTCTTGAACCCACAGAGATCCACCTGCCTCTGCCACCCAAGTGCTGGGACTAAAGGTGTGCGCCACCATGCCACAACAGGACAGGTGCTGGAAGGGCCAGTCTGGAACCACAGCCTAACCCTCGGATGGGAAACATTGGGGCGATTTGAGATGACTCCCAGCTTCCACTGGTGTTAGAGGTCTCTCTGGGCTGGTCCTGTGAGGAGGAGGTGGGTCACAGCCACTGACGTGTCCTGACCTTCCAGGGAGGTGGCGACTGCCCAGAGATGAGTGTTGGGGCCATCAAGGCTGCCGTGGAGGTTGCCAACCCCGGGTCCTTCATCTACGTCTTCTCGGATGCCCGCGCCAAGGACTACCACAGGAAGGAGGAGCTTCTGAGGCTCCTGCAGCTCAAGCAGTCGCAGGTGAGGGGCCGCTGTGGGGCCTGGGATGGGCGGCCACTTTGGGGCCAGAGGAGGCAGTGTTAGGCCCTACTGGAGCTTCTCTCCTGCAGCCCTGGGCCCAGCTCTGGGCTCCTGCCTCCCTGGTGAGGCTTGCTCTTGCTACAGACCCCATAACATCCTCATTTTACATTCTTTCGAAGTCTATGCAATCCTTCCCAGTACTGGCGTTGCCTCTGTCCTGGTTCCTGCAGCTCACTTACCCCTGTCCCTGTGTCAGAGTCATACATTGTGACTTCTGGCTCTTGCTTTTTTAATTTTTATTTTACTTATTTTTATTTTTTTATTTTATGTATATGAGTATATTGCTTGCAGGTATGCAAATGCACCCATGTGTGCAATGCCCACAGAAGTCAGAAGAGGGAGTCAGACTCCCTTGAAACTGGAGTTACAGATGGTTGTTAGCCACCATGTGGGCGCTGGGATTCGAACCTGGGTCCTCTGCTTTTGCAGTGCTCCAGTCCCTTGCATCAGTTCTTGATCCCCATCTCCGGGGCACTTTCACTGCTGCCATGGAAAGGGCCCTCCCCATGCCACTCCATCCTGGTTGGGGTTCTCTTATCCCTGATGGAGTAGGCAGCTCAGGAAGTCATAAGCCAGGCTTGTTTTGTCATCTTCCAGGTGGTTTTTGTGCTGACGGGGGACTGTGGTGACCGCACCCATCCTGGTTACCTGGCCTATGAGGAGATTGCCTCCACCAGCTCTGGGCAGGTGTTCCAGCTGGACAAGCAACAGGTGGCGGAGGTGAGCCCCTTCCCCGCAGAATGCCTGCTCTGAACTGCTCAGCAAGGATGTTGGGTCTTGTACACTGGGGCCTTTGCCTGGTGATTGAGCTGCTGAGCAGCACTGAATGCCCACTCCCAGGCTTTGCCTACTGAAGTCATCTCCACACCCCCAAGGCAGGTATTTGGGAGACACCACAAAGGTCAAGAGGCCGAGGCTTGAGAGGCACCCTGGGTTGCTGCCCTGGCCCCACAGTGGGGTCAGAGCCTGACAAACTCTGGCAAAAGGGTAAATGTGAGGTCACTTCAGATTCTAAGTCAGAGTCTGGGCCCTCACTGGAGGCTGGTGCGAGGGCACACCAAGTTGGGTCTGGGATGCTGGGAACTTTGTTTGGGACTCACTTGACTCCGTGGCCTCAGGTTCCAGAGTTGGATTCACTAAGCCCAGTGTTCACCAGGCATCTTCCCTGCTGTCCTGATACTGGCCAATTGCTGGCCACCTCTCCTCAGGTTCATGGGGTCCCAGTGCCTGCTGCCCTCCAGGAGGGAGGTATTGTCTCAGAGGCGGACTGTGACCTCCGGGACTGGTTTTGTGAGCTGTATATTTATGAGCTGAGAGGACCAGTCTCTGGGGCTGTGTTTAGATTAGCGTGCCTTGGCTCCCTGTTGACAGATGGCGTTTATGCTCCTCTGTGACATAGCAGGCTTTATTTTCTGGCTTGTCAGCCTCTCCTGGCGTTGAGCCCCACGTGAGGGTGGGAGACATTTCAGAGTGGTGGGACAGCTTGGTTCCTGCTTTGGGCGGAGACACTCAGTTCCACAGGGGCAAATCAGACCCAGAGAGGGAAGGCAGGTTGCTGAGGACTGCTCATGGACCCCTCGCTCCAGGCACGAAGACGAGCCCATCTCTTTTCTGCAGTGAGACTATTGCTTTGTAAGACCATCGGTGACTGGGTTAGGCTGCGCTGAGTGGTGGGTAGGATGTTCCTGGGTACGGAGCTCCTCATGATTTGGGTCTGGCCCCTCCCAGATGTTCCAGACACTCAGCAAGCCTGGGAAAGTGGCTGGGGCAGCCAAGGCTGTGGTCATCCCCTAGGGGAGTCAGGGTAGCGGGGCTTTAGCTGGGAGAAGCCCTCCACAGAAGTTTCAAAGACTCCCAACCTGTACATGTGAAGTGAGCCCTTTGTCCTTCCCAAAGTATATCCTGTGCAGCAACAGCGACGTGCTCTGCGTTCTCTGTTACACTCATTTATTAAGCACCTGCTGCATGTACCAGCAAAGACCAGGCAGCCACTTGGAGCCAAGGGGCTTTTAGAGTACTTAGCTCCTTCTGATTGTGAATTTGGCCTCACAGGTTGTAGGGGCCCCTTTGGGAGTTAGTTTCAGGGTAACTTAGGGAGGGTGAGGAGTCTTTTTGGCAAGGGACTTTGAGCTCTAACTCTCTGGCATAGACAGGAGACTATATTGGGGGCAAACAGTGTGGCCTTGGATTTGTCACAAGGTCTGCATTTCTTGTGGTGTGTGGATGTGTGGTGTACTGTATGTTCGCGTTCACTTGTAGGTGCACGTGCATGTGTGGATGTGGAGGCCAGAGGCTGACTGACCTTGGATGTCTTCCTTAATCTCTCTTCAGCTTGTTTTTTGAGACAAGGCCTTTCACTGAACTTGAAGCTCAGTATTTCAGCTAGATTGGCTGGCTGGTGAGCTCCAGGGATCTCCTACTGACCCCCAACCCTGGCTCTGGGTTATAGCTCTATACCACTGCTTCCAACTTTCATGTGGGTGCTGGATATTTGAACTCAGGTCCTCATGCTTGCACAGCAAGCACTTTTACCTTCTGAGCCATTTCTCCAGTTCCAAGGTGCACATTTTTTTTTTTTTTTTTTTTTTTTTTTAAAAAGGGTCTCCTTATAGCCCCAATTGGTCTGGAACTCGATATGTAGACCAGGCTGACCTTGATCTCACAGAGATCCACCTGCCTCTGCCTCCCAAGTACTGGGCTTAAAGTGTGCATTTTTAAAACTTTAAAAAAATTATTTATTTTTATTTTATGTGTATGCATGTATTGGCTGCATGTGGGTAAGTGCACCCGTGTCGTGCAATGCCTGCATGCAATGCCTGTGGAGGTCAGAAGAGGCTGTCGGATCCCCTGGGACTGGAGTTACCAACAGTTTTTAGCTGCCATGTGGGTGCTGGGATTCGAACCCGGATCTTCTGCAAGAACACGTGTTCTTAACCGCTGAGCCATCTCACCAGCCCCAAAGTGTGCGTTTTTAAATCAAGATCTGGATGGGACCAAGAATTCCCGTGCCCCAGAGTGCTACCCACAGGCTTGGCTCCATGCTCAGTAATCCGTGCTGCCGCTGGACCTGACAATGAGGGAGGGTGACAGGATGGAGACGGGAAAGAAGAGCTGGGCAACCCATCTGGGAAGTTGCCCTGTCTTTCCAGGAAAGCACTAAGCCTCTTGCTTTCCCCTGCATGGTACTGCCTTTACTCCCTACCACTCTCTCCAGCACGGCCAGTTCTGGGGGGCAGGACCTCTCCCTTGTCCAGCAGCAGCAAGTACAGCTGAAAAATTGCCTAAACTGTGCAAATCCACTAGTAGAGGGATGACCTGCCTTCTATGACCATGGGAGTGGGGAGGCTCCTACCTCTGATTAATAGATTAGGAAGAACCATCAATGACCTCATCTTAGACCCTTCCCAGCAGCACTCTGGGTGCTGGAATGGTTGAAGCTTTGGCTGCTGGGGCAAGATGCAGGCTACAGACCACAGCTTTGCCACCTGCCTGCAGGGGGACCTTGTGCCCAGTACTTACTCCATGAGGTGCAATTGCCCCCTGACTCCTATGTGCGTAGTTGTGCTGGCAGGATCCTCTGCCTTGCGAGATGGTAGCTAGGATGGAGGATGAGTGGATGTAGTGGTGCCAGGACCTGGGAAGACAGACTAAGCACCCCAGCCTTCTGGTGGGACTAGAGGTTTCTCCTGTTCCCCAGTCTATCAAAGCCCCCTATGGAGTAGGACTATTTTCTCAAAAGAGTCCTCAGCAAGGCAGAGCTGGGCAGAGCATCTGGGGAGCCCAGCTGGCAAAGTGCAGAGCCTTGGGATGGGGTGCTGCCTCTGTGGTTCCAGGCCGAGCCCTCAGTTTTCCAGTCTACAGCGATGAGCCCTCTTCATGCTCCTCCTTCTAATCCCCTCAACTGCCCTTGCTGTCAGAGTGTCTTGGGAGGGCCTCTGGGGATGATTTATCACCACCAAGGGCCCGGCAGCAGCCTTCTGGCCCTAGTGTAGCAAGGCCAGATTTTTTTCCTTCCTTCTCTATCAACGACCAGAGCCAGGGCCAGCACATGGCTGGCTCCCAGGCCCTGCCCCACAGACATCTGGAAGCCATCGGGCTCACCAAATAAACACTGTGCTTGCTTAATGAAGGCGCTGTGCTCTGAAGGTTCTGGAGCTCTGGAGGCATCACCAGGTCTAGAAGCCCTTGACCCTGAGCTTGGCCTTACAGGGTGGTCTGGATGTGCTGTGAGCAAGAGGGTCACACTCCCCCCAAAGACCAGGGCAGGCTGCCTCATGCTAGGGTCACTAGGGTGCTGTCCGTATCCCAACCCTCTCTCTGTGTCTTAGTAGCCTAAACTTCGGGGCATCTGCTCTCCATCAGAACAGTCTAGAATGGCTTACAGTGGCCCTTGCAACACAGTGACTTGTCTGGGTGATTGTAACCCCGGGGTGCCATCGCCTGCTGGCAGGTCTGCTCCGCCACCATCCCTCTCTTCCCACTAAGAAGCCTCGAGGAATGGGCAGTGGGCCTATGCCCTTCTTCCCCTCCATCGGCACTGGCACCCTGGCTCCGCTGACTCCTGTCCACCTCTAAGGCTGGGAATCTTTGGTGCTGTCTTCCTTCCATCCTCCCCCATGTGGACAGGGAATGTTGTCCAGTCCTCACCCAGGACAGGTGGAGCCTCTTCAAGAGACACATTTCTCCAAAAACTAGGCATAAACAGAAAGAAGGAGCTCCAAGTAGAAGAAGGAAAAAAAAAAAGGAATGTTGAATTCTTATCCGGTGATAACTGGTCTTACAACATATGCTCTAGCTCTGTGTGAATACAACATACTCAGTTTCTGAAAATCAGGCAGGCTTTCCAATTCCTTTCCCTTCTGTGCAAGGTTACATGGTAGGCAGAACTGTGGGACTGTGTGCGAGGGCCAGAATGGCCAACAGGTAGCATGTAGGTCACTGTCTTCTGTCCATATCCATGGCAGACATTGCTAATCCATCACAGAACTTTGCCTTTTTCAGACAGCATTCCAGTTGACTGACGGTAAGCAACTGTCAGGTCCAGGTGTATGATAAAGTCACGGCATACTTGTCATTTTTTAAATGACTTTTATTTTTCAAAATCACTATGAGAAATTTCCAAGGTAGACAAAAGTGAAAAGGAATTCAGGAGTAAGTCTACAATCGTTGACTCTTTTTCTTGCTTAATCTATCCCTCTGGGTTTTGCTGAATTGCGGCACTTTGTAAATAATTTAGAATGGATTATTTGTTTTTATTTTTGGATGCCGGGGATGACTCAGGGTGTCTTGCATGCTTGCTCTACTACTGAATGCCAGTCCCAGTCCCTCACTTTATCCCCATAACCTATAGTAGTATCTAATGTAATGAGTAAACATTTCTGTTGTGTTCTAATACCGGATCCAAGCTTGAATTTTCCTAATTGCCTCAAAATGTCTCGTCTCTTTTTTTGCATGTGTATATGGAATGCATGCATGTGTGTATGCGTGTTCATGTGTGTGCAGGTCCAAAGTTGACATCAGGTCACAGCTGACAACTCGACCACTGTGTTTATTAAGGCAGGGTCTCCTGCTGAGCATGGAACTTACTGATTTGTTAGTTTTGCTAGCTAGCCAGCTCACCCCTGGATCCCTGTCTCTACCTCCCAAGCACTGGGATTACAGGTGGGTCACCAAGCCCAGCCAGCTTTTTACATGGGTGCTGGGGATCCAAACTTTGGTCCTCATGCTTTTGTGGCAAGAAATTTATCCACCGAGCCATCTCCCCAGCCCCTTACAATAGCCTCTTAAGAGCTTTTATATATCTGGATTTAACCAGCTGTCTATTTCAATTGGCTGCTGTGTCTGTCAAATCCCCTTAAATCTGGAGCCATCTGCTCTTTGTTATGACACTAACTGAAGAGACTCTGCTCTGTTCCATGTTCTAGAATCGTCCAGTTGTTTCCTCAGGGTGTCATCAACACCTCCCCTTGTTTCTTACTTCCTGCCTAATCCAGAATGGTTAGGTCTGGGTAGGTTGGTGCTGTGACTACTTTGCATGACATCAAGTGACAAACAGCACCTCATTGCTCTACTGCTGCTGATGACAAGTTGGGTTGCTGGTCGCAGTGGTGACAGCTCTCTGTAGGGCAAGTCCATGTCCCTCCACCTCCAGCTTTGACTCCAGTGCCTGTGGGATGACACTCTGGCTCTGTGCAGACATCTAGTTCTCATCAATCTCTCATCTTGTGGTTTCAGCATCCACTGAGGATCTTTGCCCAAAACGATTATTTCATTAGGAATTTTGAGATGATGATTTCCTAATTGCATCATTCCTTCCACAGTTAGCAGAGGGCATTCTTCCAAGAAGGCTCCTTCTCCTCAGGAGAGATACTCTGGCCTCTGAGACCATCCCTATCAAAATGCAGGAGTCCCATTAAGCTCTTTCCTGAACTGTTGTGGTTTGAGGCTTTACTGCTTCAAGTAAGGATCAAACCCAGGGCTGCAAGCATGCTAGGCAAACACTCGACTGACCGAGCCACATCCCTGACCGTACAGTGCAAAAGTTCACTTAGTCTGTTTGATTATATACCTCCCCTCCCCTTCCCTCTCCTCCCCTCCCCTCTCCTTTCTATAAATTCCATAAAATCGCTATTTCCCAAGTGAATAAATTAATATGTAACAGAAAAAAAGTTGTTGATTATTATTCATGGTCTCCCTCCCGTTTACAAGATAAAAATCTACCTCAGGCCCTCACAGTCCTGCTTAGAGGGCCAACACTCTGTTAGGAGCATCCTGAGGCCCACTACATAGGGATGGAATCCCAGATCTCCCAGGTGGACTCTGCACAGGAGGCCTCAAGGGCTTCCTCATGGAGGCCTGAGACAGAAGATGAGGAAGTGGTCTTGCTCCTTCCCTGCACAGAGTCATCTGGATGCAGGCATCAAAGTTTGGAATTCACAGGAGCCAGGAGGGTAGAAATGAGTGAATCAGGCCTGGTATAGACAGTGGCCAATACATGTCTGTGGAGACCTGAACAACTTGATTATTACCCTGGGCCCACAGAGGAGGGTGGATTTTTCACACAGCTAGAAGCTAGAGACCTGTATCATGTGGCCAGACATGTTAAACCCTGGGGACTCCCACTGGATTAACTTCTCCTATTCTTCCAGGTGCTAAAGTGGGTAGAGTCAGCGATCCAGGCCTCCAAGGTACACCTGCTGTCTGCAGACCATGAGGAGGAAGGCGAGCACATGTGGAGAATCCCTTTCGACCCCAGCCTGAAGGAGGTCACCATCTCACTGAGCGGCCCAGGGCCTGAGATTGAAGTCCGGGACCCACTGGGTACATGTCCCAGGGATGGCCTCTTCTTTGAATCCAAGACTGAGCCAGAAGCCCAGGATGGAACAGAAAGAGGCCATGGGAAGGCGGGTGGGGAGACGGTCACTCAGTAAGGTGCCTGCAGTGCAAATATAAAGACCTGAATCTGGGTGGGGGCTTATGTCTATAATGCCAGTGCTGAGGGGTGTGGAGATAGGCAGATCCCTGGGGCTCTTTGACCAGCCAGCCCAGTCAAACCAATGAACAACGGGTTCAGTGAGAGACCTGGCACAGGAAAGAGATAAATAGGTGTAGAAAGTGCTTGGGGAAGACACCTGTTCTAGTTCGCCTTCATTGCTGTGACAAAACACTCTGAACACTGCCAGCTTGGGAGGGAAGTGTTTATTTAGCTTACATCTCCCCGGTCACAGTTCATCCGGGAGCCCAAGGCAGGAACTCAGGGCAGGAACCTGGAGGCAGGAGCTGGAGCACAGGCCATGGAGGAATGCTGCTTACTGCCTTGCTCCTCTGGCCCCTGCTCAGCCTGCTTTCTTATGCAACACAGGCCCACCTGCCCAGGGGTGGCACTACCCACAGTGGGCTGGGCCCTCCCACATCACTCAACAGTCAAGAAAATACCCCACAGACATGGCCACAGGCCACTCCAATGGAGGCGATTCCCTAGTTGAGGCTCCCTCAACCCAGGTGTGTCAAGTTGACATTAAAGCTCTCCGGCACAACATCAAATGTTGACCTCTGGCCTTCACACATATGTATACATGCACCCACAGACACACATATCCATGTGAATATGTACAACACACACACACACACACACAAGGCAATGGAAGCAGGGGGTTCAGACCCAAGGCTCCATTGATGAGGAAATGGGGGACGCCATGTTGGGGTAGAGCGGTCACTTCTGGTGGTGGTAAAGCAAAGGCTGGTGGCCACCAACCAGTGGGGAATTAAAATGATGACAACTTTTGTCGGTACCCTGAGAACTTGAGGCTGCTGTTGGGAGGCTCTGGGTTCTTGGAGACAAGGGGGGGTCGCAGGTACCACGGGAAGGGACTGAGGACTGAACAGCCTCTGGGGTTTCCACAGGGAGGATTCTGCAGACAGACGAGGGTCTCAATGTTCTCCTCAGCATTCCAGACTCAGCCAAGGTTGTAGCCTTTAAGCCTGAGCACCCTGGGCTATGGGCCATCAAGGTAGGAACACTGGGTTTTGAACTGGGGGCCTGTGATGTGTGGACAGCGATGTGGGCACATCAACAGGAGCATAGGGTCAAGAGCAGAGGAGAAGCATTCTGCTTTGCAATGGCAAGGAAGTGGGATGGTCTGAGATGAAGTTCACAGAGGGTCCAGAGAACCAAAATCAGTGAATAGCCAAGTTGGCGTGTGGCTCAGACCCCTGGGGGGAATGCTGGAGGCCAGGTGTGGTGGAGCATCTTGGCATAGAGCTGTTACTGTTTCGGGGCAGTGAGAATACCTGTAATTGGACACTTGCTGAGCACCTACCAGGTACCAGGCATCATGGTAGCTGCTGCAGGTGAAGGGGCTGCACTGGTCACCTGCCTTCCCAGATCTGAGCATCTTTGAGGCTAGAGCTATGATGCCAGTGGGAAAAGTGTGCAGCAAGGAGGTGGACAGGCGGGGGCCAGGCAGGACCCGCAGGAACTCAGAGAGGGCAGAAGGGCAGAGCAGCATCCAGAGCAGGGCAGTGGGAAGCTGGGCTTCCGTGCCTTCGCTTGGGGAGTAAGTAAATTGTCCCTGTGACTATGAAGGTGAGAGAACTTAGCTGTAGTTGTGTGGCCAGTAGCTTTCTGGACTGGGCCTGGGGTCCTGGGGTTTGATGCTCTGATGACGTGGGTGGGACCTGTGCTAGGTGTACAGCAGCGGCCGCCACTCAGTGAGAATCACTGGCATCAGCAACATCAACTTCCGAGCTGGCTTCTCCACTCAGCCGTCTCTGGACCTCAACCATACCATCGAGTGGCCCTTGCAAGGTACCTGCCCTTGATCCTGAGGATGATGTTGGCTCTGGGAGGTCCTGGTTGTGTGAGCCATGTGGATGGTGGAATGGACCCCCCAGAGGTGAAGCTCGGCCATTGTCTCAGGTCACAAGAGTGGAAACCTCTGAGCCAGTTTCCTCTCTGTCAGTCCAGCCCAGCCTAATGTGGTACAGCGACATTTACCTAAAGAGCATCCTTCCAGCCATGAAAGGGGTCTTGAGGAGACTCTGTTATCTCTTTTATTGTCACCTTGTGTGTGTGTGTGTGTGTGTGTGTGTGTGTGTGCACGTGCATGCGTGCACATGCATGCATTCGAGTATGTTTGGGTACATGTGTGTGCACATGGGTGTGAAGGCTATATCCTCAGGCACCAGTCACCAATTATTTTTTGAGCCACAGTCTCTCTCTGGCCTGGAGCTAAGCCAGTAGACTAGGTTGGCTGTTAGTAAACCTCAGTGATCTGTGTATCTCCATCTCCCCAGCACTGGGATTACATGCTCCACCATGCACAGCTTTTTTACCTGGGTTCTAGGGATTGAACTCAGGTCCTCACACTTGCAAATCAACTGCTTTACCAACCAAGCCATCTAGTCAGCTCACCTGCCTTCATTTTTCTTTGTTTTTTTAAAAATTAATTTGTTTTTATTTTATGTCTATGAGTGTTTTACCTGCAAGTATGTAAGTGCACCCGTGTCGTGCAATGTCTGTGGAGGCCAGAGAGAGCATTAAATCCCCTGGATCTGGAGTTACGGACAGTTGTTAGCCACCATGTGGCTGCTGGGAACTGAACCTGGGTCCTCTACCAGATCAGCCAGTGCTCTTCACTGCTAAGCATCTCTCCATGTCTAGCACCTCCACTTTTAAATACTGCCTTTCTTCTTCCTTTCTTCCCTTCCCATCCCCCTAACCCTTTCGCTTCCTCTCCTTCCCTTTCTTTTGAGACAGGGTCTCACTATGTAACTCGGGCTGACCTGGAATTTACTGTTAAGTCCTCTTAATACCGAGCCATCTCTCCAGCCCCATCTTCTTTCTTCTTGTTGAAACCTATCTGGTTACAGTCCTGCTTCCTCAGACTTCCTGTTTGCAGCCTGCTAATTCAGGGAAGGAACAGGTGCCAGCCATCTGCTGGCTTACCAAAAAGGGGACCGTCACCTTCCGTCAAAGGAGCAAGTGTCCTGTGGTCACGGGGCTGCCAAAGGCTGGTGAAGGCTGGAGTGGCATGGGGTGGGGGGAGTTGGAGGTGGGGTTTCCTGGCTGGAGTGTAAGAAGCCGATAGGCTGCATGCTGATTCATCCCAGGGTTGACCATGGCTCAGGCTGCCTGAACTCCAGGTGAGAAATCTCACTGGGAGTCACAGCACGTTCCCCATTATGGTTGGAAAATATGGTTCTTTGTCACAGACTCTTTAGAATTAGCTCGGAGGAGGCTGGAGAGATCTGGACTGGGTCACATGGCTCTAGACCACTGAAGAGTAACTCTAAGTGGTATGTGCTGACCCCATAGGGATTTTCTGAGTCTGCATCTTCCAGATGTTTGCTGCTTTCATCAGCCGTCCTTGGTGTTCCTGCCAAGACCAGCAGCAGCGTCTTCTAGAGAGAAAAGAGCTATGAGCTCATTTGGTTTTTGTTTTGCAGAAAGAGGGGAGGGAAATCCAGGAAACTGAGTCCTTTCCTAAAGGCAGGAGAGAAAAGACATCCTAAGCAGGGCCTGAAGGCACAGTTTTACAATCCCAGCTACACAAGAGGCAGAGGCAGGAGGATTATAAACTCAAAGCTTGCCTGGGTAACTTAGCAAGCTCCTGACTCAAAATAAAAAGTAAAAAATGGGCTGGTGAGATGTCTCAGTGGGTAAAGGTGCCTGTTGTCAAGCCTGAACCAAAGTTCAGTCCCTGGGACCCACATGGTGGAAGGAGAGAACTGACTTCTGCAAGTTGTCCTCTGACCTCCATGCACATACTGTGGCATGTGTGTGTGCACAAATACTGCCCCCCCCCGCAAAGTTTAAAAATAAGATTGGAGGCTATAGCTTGGTGATAGAGTACTTGCCTCACATCTGCAAGATTCAGGCTCAATCCCCAGCACTGCAAGGAGGAAGAAGAGAGTAAAAGAGAAAGAGGAGGAGGAGGAGGAGGAAGCTAGAAATGATAAGCAATGCTTGGCATTTAGCCCCTGTACTAGGAGCATTACGGTATGGAGGAGTCGGTGGTTAACTGAACAGTGACTGCCGGGACTGTAGCTACTGCGTGCTGTTGGCTGACCTGAGGAGGTCACTCTGCTCCGTTAGTCGACTGTAAGGAACAGCTGCCATGTACTACTGGCTGACCCCAGGGAGTAACCCCTCCACATCACTGGTGCCAGCTGTAGCAGGAGCAGGCACCTGGTATGGACAGACGGGGCTTTCCAAAGGACTTAGGGGTATTGATCCTTCCATGCCCTTTCTGGACTCAGTATTCCTTTAAAAACTGTTAGACACTCCACAGGCCACAGCAGCCACACCCATAGGCACCTAGTTTATGCTCTCTGAGAGAGAAAAACATCAATAACTGTCCAAAAAGGGACAGACCTAGCCCAAGCCTTCAAATAAACTAAGGAAATGGTGAAACCCAATCCAGTTCTGTGTCTTCTGGGAGAGATGGGGTGAGAGTCCCCAAGCTGGGCTGATCACAGCCAACACCAGGGTTAATGGGGTGTGGGAGAGGCTTGGCCCTTCCCAGTCCCACCCCTACCCCACCAACATCAATAACTGTCCAAAAAGGGACAGACCTAGCCCAAGCCTTCAAATAAACTAAGGAAATGGTGAAACCCAATCCAGTTCTGTGTCTTCTGGGAGAGATGGGGTGAGAGTCCCCAAGCTGGGCTGATCACAGCCAACACCAGGGTTAATGGGGTGTGGGAGAGGCTTGGCCCTTCCCAGTCCCACCCCTACCCCACCAGGGTTGAGTCTGCAGAGGTGCAGCTAGCAGGAACAGGGTTGGGGGGGGGGGAAAGTGGTGGTGTTTCAGGACCATGGACAGCAGCAAGGGCCTTCTTTGCAGTCCCACCCCACTGTTAGCCTGCACAGAACAGTGGGTAGGGAGACTGAGCAGGTACGCAGGAAGGTCAAGCAGGCTGGGTCTCTAAAGTGTGGTCCCAGAGCCCAGAACCTCGTCCTTCACCCTCCCTCTCCAGGGGTGCCCATCTCCCTGGTGATCAACTCTACGGGCCTACAGGCTCCAGGCCATCTGGACTCCGTGGAGCTCTCGCACAGCTCTGGACGGCCCCTCCTCACTCTGCCTACTCGGCCCCTCTCCAATGGATCTACCCATCAGTTGTGGGCTGGGCCACCCTTCCATGTGCCGCAGGAGCGCTTCTACCTCAAAGTGAAAGGCAAAGACCATGAGGGAAATCCCCTCCTCCGGGTCTCTGGAGTTTCCTACAGTGGGGTGGCCCCAGGTGAGTGACTGGCTGGCTCAGCATCCTATGTCTTCTGGAAGCCTTCCCTGACTAGACTTGATTAGGAAGTATTTGCTTATTACGCTTCTATGGACTAATGTTCCCTGTTAGATAGTGCACTAAAATTGATGTGGCCTTCAGCTTGAAGATCCCCACCACCCATCTATCCACCCATCCATCTACCCACCCATCAAACTACCCACCTGTTTACCCACCCATCCATTTACCTCCCCATTTACTCATCCATTCAGCTACCCATCCATCTATCTACCCATGTACCCATCCATCAAACTACCCACCCATTTACCCACCTGTCCATCTACATCTATTCATCTATTATTTATATACATTTGTCCATCTACCCAGTCACCCACCCACCCAACTATCCATCCACCTTCCTACTTATTCAACCAGCCAACAAGCCATCTATCCATTGATTTACAATTTATTCGTCTGTGCATCCAATTCCCTATCTATCCATCCATCCATTTATCCTTCTACCTCATCATCTAACCATCCAGCCTTCCATCCATTCACCCATCATCCATCCATCCATCCATCATCCGTCCATCCATCCATCATCCATCCATCCATCCATCCATCATCCATCCACCCATCCAGCATTCATTCTGAGTCACACTATGCAATGTGAGCACAGCAGTGTGTTGAACAGACATGGGAATTTGCTCTTCTGCAATCTCAGTCACTGTCATGACTTAACCACTGAAGATGAACTCTGGGTACCACTTTGAGCCATTTCCACAGGCCAGTCCCAGGCCTAGCACTTGCTGTGGCTGGCCCATTGCCCACTTGCATCAGTTCTGAAGTGTGTGTCCCCACGTGAGGGAAGTGGACAGAGGGACTGGCCCCCTAGTCCCCCACAAGGAAGTTCTGAGAAGTCATGACGAAGAGAGAGTCCACCCACTTCCTGGGGTCACTCTGAGAGCTCTGGAAGCCCATGTGCATGTGAGCAGCGCCTGGTTGCTCAGAGGCTGTGTGTGGACTGCTGCTCACACTCAGCAGCTGTTGGTGCTGTTGTGTCACCATGCTGGCTCCCACCTGTGTGACTTTTGCTGGTTCCTGCATCCTCTGGGCAGGAAGCTCCTGGAGCAGGGCGGAGTCTTTGGCTTCCCAGCTCCACCTCTGGTCCTGGCAGGGGCATCAGGGCTCATGGGCCACCTGGCCTCCTCACTGGGCTCTACTGCCCTTGTTCTGCCACTGTCCCCCTCCCTTGGAGGAACCTAAAGGAGCTCACAGAGGTAAACCTCACTGGTGCACCATACTTCTCTGTAGGACCTCAGCAGGTGCAGTCCCTCTGTCCACTTCAAGCAGGAGTGCGTGGAGGAGAGGACTGGCTCCAGAGGCTGACCATGGGGCCCACCCAGGGGCAGGACTTGGAGATCTGGCTGGGGCCCTTCCTTCCGTGCCCTACCTCACCTCCCAGCCTCTGGGCCTCCACTTCCTGCGGTGGTTCCTGGGTCTCTCTGCTCTGCCTTTATAACCTCAAGGAGGAACTTCCAGGAGAGTCCAGCAGGGACATTAAGACCCGTTTTCTCTCCCTCTGCTCTCTCAGATGGAGCCAGGAGCTTGGGGTACCACTCTGGGTTTGGTTTCCATCTCCACTCTAGATGGGGGTGGGGAGGGATGGGTTGGGATATTTTCTTGCTCCTTACCTTTCAGAGTGGAGAGCCTTGGGGATTTGTCTTAGAGCAGGGTGGCCCTGGGTTTGGAGATGTGGTAGGCCTGGGGTCCCTGGGCCCTTCCTGCTCAGAACAACAGAAACCAAACCTTCTGGCAGAGGCTCCCAGCCTGCGGGGGCGAGTAAGGGCTGCACACACAGCTGAGGATGTGGCTGGAAGGTCTGACACCCCTCTCCCTGGGGATGTGGCAGGCAGCCCAGGGCGTGATGTCACTGACGGTGCTCCCCACCCCCACATTGGGCTCTGAGGAGGTCTGGTGCATTGTCTCACTCTCAGAGCATCTTGCTGGGCTCCTATCCCCTCTGGCAGGGTGCAAGGAAGGCAGTAAATGGGCCGAGTGTTTGCCAGCACCCGTGGGCTGCAGCTGACCCTGCCGGGGAATTTCTTAGAGTCCCCTTGAAGCAATTCCAATAGGGAAAGAGAATGTCACCCTTAGACGAGGGTCAGGTGGGGAGGGCCTGGTGTCTGATGGGAGGCCCTAGGGACTCATCACAAGCTCTGAGAGTTTCTTGAAGTCTCACTTTATCTCAAAAATGTGTGTGAATCTCACATTCACAGCCATCTTCCAACTGTGTGCGGTTTTTCATTGGAAAGTGTTCCTTCAAACAAATAGGGGGGAAACTGACTCTCCAGACAAAGATCCCATTGCACAGCCCCACCCAGACCCTGTGTGGGTGGCATCTCCGCAGATGTTGGGGCTGGTCCTAGGCTGTTGGGGACTGGCCATGCAGAGTGGGAGAGGGCTAGTCAGTCCCTCCCAGCTAGTCTGCTAACCGGCCTCCTCAGAAGCCATGATGAGCTTGTGGGTGCTCCTCACCCTGATGCTTATTACCATAACTCAGAATACCACCACATGCTCAGAGCCATCAACATCTCCATTGGAATATTTATCTATTTCTTTATTTTTATCTTATGTGTATGAGTGTTTTGCTACATGTACATAAATGCACCTGTGTGTGAGCAGTGCTGGAGGAGGCCAGAAGAGGGTGTTGGATCCCCTGGCACTGGAATTATGGATAGATGTTAGTTGCCATGTGGGTGCTGGGAATTGAACCTGCATCCTCTGCAAGAGCAGCCAGTGCTCTGAACTGCTGAGCATCTCTCCAGCCCTGAATTTATAATCTCTTAACCTTCGCACAGTACTTTAAAAATGTTTTTATTAGCATATATTATTATAGATGATAATGGGTTTCATTATGAAATTTTCTTTTTAAAAATATTTTATTATTTATAGTACATGTGTATTTTATTGTCTGTGTGTCTATCTGTATGTATGTAACTGTACCCCCCCTTGTCGTGCAATGCCCACGGTTCTGTGAGTCCCAGTGCAATGGCCATATCATGCCCGGAGATCAGTGTTCCACATCGCTCCCCCATGTCATTGGGCTCTTCCATTGCTCCCGTTCCTTCTTCCCCAGCATTCATGGAGCCTTGGAGGACCACCTCCATTTTACAGATGTGGAAAATGAGGTTCAGAGATGTGACGTGGTCTCTGAATGTGGCCAGGCATTGGAACCAATCTGGACTCTGGTTTCTATTCATTCTTGCCCATTCCTGTGTGGCTGGGGTGACAGGGTTGAGCTGAGAACTGTGTTCGCATGCAGGCGCACCTCTGGTCAGCATGGCCCCCAGGATCCATGGCTACCTGCAGCAGCCTCTACTGGTCTCCTGCTCTGTGTACAGCACCCTTCCCTTCCGGCTACAGCTTCGGCGAGATGGATCCAGATTGGGCGAGGAGAGGCACTTTCAGTGAGTGGCTGATGTACAGCACTTGTCCCTGGTCCTGGCGCTCCTGTGCCCTGGACAGATCTCAGGGAGTGGATGTCAGCCTGGTTGGGGATGGGGAGAGTGGGCCTCCTGGCCATGAGTGGGGGCCCAGCTGTGGAGGTAAGAAGAAGAGGAATTCTCAGACCCTTCCCTTAGGTTAGGAGTACAGAATTCAGAGAACCCAGTTCACACAACCTGCTGTAGAATTGGCCTGGTTCTTTGTACTGAGCTTCAGTGAGGATTTGGGGTTCCTAAGACCCCTGAGGCTTTGAGACCCTGACTGGAGTCAGAGTGACCATACTTCCTGCTACTCTTTCAGGGAGTCAGGAAACAGCAGCTGGGAGATCCCACGGGCCTCCAAGGCTGAAGAAGGCTTGTACGAGTGCATGGCGGTCAGTAGAGCTGGCACGGGACGAGCCAATGCTCAGATCGTCATCACAGGTCTGTCCCCCTTCTCTGTGTGTGCCGCACCCCACTTTTCCCCTCCCAGCCACTCTCCCTCCTTGGGGTAGGGTACCAGCCTGCCAGAGGCTGGGGACAGAGTCCCTCACCCAGAGCATGGCATCCATGCTGCCACCTGCCCGATGACCCCACCTGGGGATGTCACCTGGCAATGGTCTGTGGGTGTCAGTTGTCCTGCCCGGTGTTACTCTTGTGCCTTTGTTCTTCCTGGGCCACCGTTCTCCTGCAGTCTTGTCTTTGAAAGCCTCTAATCCCTGTCAGGATGTCACCATTGAGCTCTGGAAGATTGCAGATGACTCAGACAGTCTTAGAACAAGATCGACTTTACTTTTTTTTTTTAACTCTCTATTTAAAAAAATCATTTTTATTTATTATTTTTATTTTATGTGTATGAGTGTACTGCCTGCATGTATGTGAGTGCATCCATGTTGTGCAATGCCGCAGAGATCAGAAGAGAGCTTCAGATTCCCCTGGGAAGGATGGTTCGTAGCCACCATGTGGGTTCTGGGAATCGAACCCGGGTCCTCTGTAAGAGCAGTCAGTGCTCTTAACCACTGAGCTATCTCTCTAGCCCCTGACTTTGCTTTTTTAAAACTAGGGACCCAAGCTGTCTTCTAACAAAGTCAGTTTAATGACTCCACATTCAGCTATACAAGGACACACAGGTTCTAGGCAGAAAGGCGGGAAGATGTGACACAGCGTCAAAGCTGCCCGCAATCCCACTGTTGAAACATTTTTATGAACTTCTATCATGTGTGATGTATACATGTGTGTCCACCTTTGAAATTTGAGAGAGGGTCTCTCATCGAACCTAGGTAGGCTTGGCAATTTCAGCTGGACTGGCGTCAGCACCAGGTGAGCCACAAGGGAGCCTCCAATATCCACCCCCTAGTGCTGGAGTTACAGATGTACCACAGCACCTGGCTTCTATGTGGGTGCTGGGGATCTGAACTCAGATCCTGATGCTTACACATCACCCACTGAGCCATCTCCCCAGGTCTCTTGATGAGCTTCTTTCTGACATATTTCTGAGAGTTAGTTAGATCACAGATACTTTCAGCAACCCATCCCACCATCCAACAGCAAGTCAGGCTCTGTGTCAGGCTCTGTGTACTCTCAGTGTCTGGGAAAGTCAACATTTTATAAATAATGAGCAGGAAGGAGGGCAGTGTGAGGGAACTGGCTGCCTGTTACCTAGACGGCACATACTGATGTTTGTCCACATTTGTCTTTTTTCTTGCTGAAGTACATTAAATTATCATCACCTCAGCATTTCAATCTGTAGTACTAAAATAAAGATCACCCTATATCACAAAGTTCTCCTGGTCAGAGACAGTATAGTGGTACATACTTGCAATCAGAGAGCCAGGAGGCTGAGTCAAGAGGGTTGACTCAAGCTTGAGGCCAGCCTGGGCCACATGGTGAGTTCCAAGCCAACAAGGGCTACAGAGTGAAACCCTGTCTCAAAAACACCAAAAAACAAAACAACAAAAAAGAGTTTACAAAAATCAGTAGTGACAAATACCTCAGTGCTGCTTGATTTTGCCTAGTTTCTCTGCCCTCGGACGTCATGTCAATGCTGTTCACTTGCTTCCTCTTTTTTTTTAGATTTGCTTTATTTTTATTTTACGTGTATGAATATTTTGCCTGCATGTACGTTAGTGCACCTGTATTGTGTAATGCACACGGAGGCCAGAAGAGGGCGTTGGATCCCCTGGAACTGGAGTTACAGATGGTTGTTAGCCACCATGTGGGTGCTGGGAACTGAACCTGGGTCCTCTGCAAGAGCAGTCAGTGCTCTTACCTGCTGAGCCATCTCTCCAGCTCCCTTTCTCTCTTTTTTGTTTGTTTGGTTTTTTTTTAGCAGTCAGTGCTCTTACCTGCTGAGCCATCTCTCCAGCTCCCTTTCTCTCTCTCTTTTTTGTTTGTTTGGTTTTTTTTGGGGGGGGGTCTCCCTATGGCCCCAGCTGTCCTGGAACTCACTATGTAGACCAGGCTGGCCTTGAACTCACAGAGATCTGCCTGCCTCTGCCTCTCAAGTGCTGGGATTAAAGGCATGTGCCACCATGCCCGGCCTCTCTCTCTTTTTTAAATGTATATTTTTATTGAAGTTTTGTGCTTTTCATACAAAGCATCTTCATCATCTTTCTATCTCCTTCCCCATCCACACCCTCCCCAGAGCCTGCCCCACTGGATTTCATGCATTCTGTCATATATGTTAAGACCTATTGAGTCAAGCTAGTGTACCCAAATGTCCCACAGTGCAAGTTTACCCACTGGGGTCTAGTCAGCCTATGTGGAATCTCTCCCTTAAAGATCAACTCTACCTCACCCAGCAGTGATCAGTGGTCAAAGTACAAGACTTATGCAAACTCAAGCAGACAAAATCCCAGCACGGAACTGGGGAAGCCCAACTCTTCTCTTCATAAAAGGTTTCACTACGTAGCTGTTGTGAAATTGCCCCATGCAAACCAGGCTGGTTTCGAGCTCCCAGCGATCCTTCTGCCTCTGCTTCCCAAGTGCGGTTAGTACTCCGCCAGCCTTCCAAGTGTCAGGCAGCCATGCTGGAGTGTGCTCCCCATGCATGCACAGCGTGCTTAGACATTTTCTTTTTTAAAAAATATTATTTTTATTTTATGTGTATGAGTGTATTGCCTACGTGTGTAGGTGCACCCGTGTCATGCAGTGCCCACAGAGGTCAGAAGAGGGTGTCGGATCCCCTGGAACTGGAGTCACAGAAGGTTGTTAGCCACCATGTGGGTGCTGGGAATCGAACCCAGGTCCTCTGCGAGAGCAGCCAGTGCTCTTAACCATTGAGCCAGCTCTCCAGCCCCATTGCTTAGACATTTTCGTCTGCTGTCCTTGCATGTGGCCTATTGGTCCTGCTCTTCCTGCCAGACCTCCGCCCCTTTCTGTGTGAGCCATCTTGGATCGTGCCACTTTGGTGGTCACTTATGTTCTACAGAAAAGCTGACTTAGCAATTGCTTCCTCTGAGGGTTTATGTCTACCTTAGGATAGACATTTCCAGCAAGTTCCCCCCTTGCCTGGCTGGTTAATTTAATTTCTGGCTTTATCCTGGCTGGGATGAATGGCTGGGAGGGAGTGAAGATTCGGGCAGAACTTGTTGAACGTGCGTTGGCTGTGACTTGTGAACATGCCTGTACCATGCAGCCCTCCAGGGTGTGATAGCACCCTAGGGAGAATGCTGTGGGGGACACGTGACCTCCCCCAGGGGACCAGGCATCCTCAGATGGGAAGCAGATGCTGGCTGAGTGCTCTGCTGGCTGACGTGTCTTATGTTCCCAGCGACGGGACAGCTCTTCCCTGCCCCAGACCCTCAGTCCTTCCTGTACTCCTGTCTTCACAGACCCTCCACCACAGCTAGTCCCTGGCCCCAACATGACGGTGTCCCCAGGGGAGACTGCCATTCTGTCCTGCCAAGTCCTGGGCGAAGCTCCTTACAACCTGACATGGGTCCGGGACTGGCGAGCCCTGCCAGCTTCGACAGGCCGAGTCACCCAGCTGGCTGACCTGTCTCTGGAGGTCAGCGGCATCCTTCCCAGTGATGGTGGGCGGTACCAGTGTGTGGCCAGCAATGCCAATGGCATCACAAGGGCATCCACCTGGCTCCTGGTGAGAGGTGAGGCTCTTTTTGCTGTTACTGGGTCCTTAGCACAACACTGTACCAAGTGTTGATCCGGGGACATTATGAAAGCCCCTGAAGCTTTAGGGAAAAAATTTCTGTACTTTCCTGCCAAAGCTTAGTGGCTTTCACTATTGGGAGATTCATCCTACCAGGGCAGGGACAGTGTGAAAACTCAGAGGTCGGAGGTGCCTGGGCACAGATCAGGCAGCTCTGGACAGGCTGGATGATGGTAGAGGAAGTAGATGGAAGCACACACACAGGGCTTTCAAGGCCGCATGTGGCCTCCTCTGCCCAGGACGCTCTTCCCTGGGGCGCTAGTCCAAGTGTGAAGACAAAATGGACAAGTCAGCAAGTGCCTTTCTTAACCCAGCAGCTCCTGATGGATGCCTGGCTTGTGTTGAGCAGGATGCCCAGGCCCTACCTGGGATCTACAGTGCAGAGATCTATTAGTAATGTCTTCCCTGGCATGGAAGGATTGCATGCGCCTTTCCAGTGAAGCTGGCTGGGAGCTCAGCTTAGGTCTCATCTCAGGGGTCTGTGGACTGAAAGTGCCCAAAGGCCCTAATAGAACCTAATTTGGGGGCCAGTTGAAGAGTAGACCTTGAGATTTACCTCAAAATCATTGGAGACATGATAATCCCCAGCCTGGTAGCTGCCTGGCATCTGAGGCCTCCAGAGGTGTCCACCCCAGAGCATCCCTCCAGAACTTGAGGGTCCCAGGCTGGGAGACCCTAATGAGTACAAGGCAGCACCCGGTCTCCCCATCTTTAGGGACACACGTGGGAAACCCCAGCTCTGGGGCCCAGGTTTTCTCTGCTTCCCCATCATGGCTGAGGGTGGGGCAGGGCCAGCATGGGGCACCCTGGCCAGTCAGATGGGCTCTTCCCCATCCATCCACAGAGGCCCCTCAGGTCAGCATCGATGCCAGGTCGCAGCGCTTCTCCCAGGGTGTGGAGGTGAGGGTCAGCTGCTCAGCCTCAGGGTACCCTACTCCTCACATCTCCTGGAGCCGAGAGGGCCTTGCCCTGCCAGAGGACAGCAGGTGAGTGGCTGGGATAAGAGATCTGGAGCTCACAGTCATGGACAAGGGCTCCGGGTGAGTTGGGGAATCCAGCCTTGGTGTTTTATAAAGGGGTACAGCATCTGCCTGTCTCCCTCCTGGGGTTGTCTGAGACTCAGGAGTGATGGTACCTTGGAAACATGTCAGCAGCAGAGTACAGTATGGCCTCCACAGTCAGGCACTCAAACTGAGCCCCAGACCTGCCTTCCCCAGTCAGGCTGTGACCTAGGATACCTCACTTCTCTGAGCCCTGTGAGTGAAAAGGACAATGTACGGAAATTGCTGCGCCCACAGCCCAGCCTAAAAGCAAACTGCCAGTGTCCAAACGGCAGACTAGTGACGTTAATATGTTAATAATGACTGTGGGGCCGCCACATGTCATCTGTGTGACCCAACATGTTTTCTGGCATGACCCTAGAATCCACGTGGATGCCCAGGGAACTCTGGTCATTCAGAGCTTAGCCCCTGAGGATGCTGGGAACTACAGCTGCCAGGCTACTAATGAAGTTGGCACAGACGAGGAGACGGTCACTCTCTACTACACAGGTGCTTGGGTCACACTGTCTCCGGACAAACCCTTCCCCTCTCCTGCTCATGGACTCTGAGTATCTGTAATATGCTGAGGCCTGGATGTTTCTATGAGCACAAGGTCCCTGACTGGTGGAACTTATATTCTGGTGGGGAGACACACAACACCCAGGTAGGGGATTGGTGTTCCAGGTAGTGGGGCCAAGGTGGGCAAAGCCCTCAGGAAATAAGCAGGTGTGTGGGGCAGCTTGGACAGGAGGAGTCCTCTTGCTGAAGCTTGACCACAGGGTGACCAGCCCCACATTCTCTCCTCTGGCCTTCACAGACCCACCATCCATCTCCGCTGTCAACGCTGTGGTACTTGCAGCCGTTGGGGAAGAGGCTGTGCTGCTGTGTAGGGCGTCTGGGGTTCCCCGACCCCGGGTCATCTGGTATCGAGGTGTGTTTGATGGGGAGAGAAGCCCGAGAGTGGTCTCACTGGACATCCAGTTTCCAGAAAGATCACCACCAGGCAGGGAATCTAAGTGGGGAAGCGGGTTCTTGAGAGAGCCAACTGGGTCCAGTTCTACCACCCCAGCCCGGTGTCCATGCAGTCCGCACAGGGTGAGAGTCTACACCCACTCAGACCTGTGTCAAGGCTCGCTCCTCTAGGGAATCTTGAATAGGTGCTCTGGCACCACTGAGCCTCAGTTTCCTTATCTGTAAATGGGTTGTGAGGATTGAGTCCACATACTTGTGTACATACCTGTTTACAGCAAGCCTGGTCAGGTGCCTAGCTGAGCTTGACTGACGGATTGGGCTGTTTCCCCAGCCTAGCAGGGGGCAGTGCCATGGACAAATTCTGAAAGCCAGCGTCTCCAGAGGCTCCACCTGCCAGGCTGATTCCCCCAACAGCACCTGTCTGGAGTCTCATGAGTCTTCCCTGGGCTTTGAGGCAGGGAGGTCGGTGGCCTTGATAGGGTAGTTTGTCAGGGCAGTTTGTCCAGGTTCCCAGAAGGAATGAGCCTTTGGCTTAGTGTTGGTGGCCCTGTGTGCTTTGGCCAAGGCCTCCTCACCTTGCCCCAGAGTCACCTGTCAGAGGGGGTCTTAGGGTGGCACAGTCTTCAGTCTGAGCAGGGAAGGGAATTCTGACACCTGCTATGACATGGAGGGGGGACTGTGAGGACACTGTAGAGAGGGGGTGGGCCTTCAGAGACACACAGCAATTAGCATTCCATTGATATGAGGTCCCAGAGCCATCAGATTGATGGAGACAGATGCTGTTTGTGTGTGTATTTGTGTGTGTGGGTGCGTGTGTGTGTGTGTGTGTGTGTGTGTGTGTGTACGTACATGCACATGTGTGAGTGTTTAGTGGGACAGCTGTGGGAAAAAATGAAGAAGTCTTGAGATAGATAGTGTGTTACTACTCAGATTAATACCCAGGGTTGAACCCTTAGAAACGGTTAGAACAGCATATCCTGTGCCTATGCATTGACTGCACCTAATTTTTAAAGAAGGTTGTTGAGATCAGGGAAGGCCATAGGTGTCAGGTGCCTGGAGATGTCAAGGAGGCAGGCATGGGTGAGGTGTGGCCACTCAGACCTCCAGGCCATGAGGGCAGATTCCAAGTCTCAGTGGGAAGGCGGGAAGGCACCTGGCATAGAGTCCTTGGGGACAGAGCTTGTCATGTCAGAGTCTGGCTGAGCCTCAGCCCTGGGTGGCAGAAAGCCTTAGCAAAGACTCAGGCCTCCCACAGAACTGAGCTCAGGAGCCCTGATTTTGGGGAAGACTACCTCCTCCCTCCTTTACCATGGAGACATAGGAGCCCTGGGTCAGGAGGCTTGAGACCCTGTCTCCATGGCAACCAAGAGACACAGCCAATGCCTTTTTTCCTTTGGTCCAGGGGGCCTGGAAGTGATTTTGGCTCCTGAAGGCTCCAGGTCTGGGACGCTGCGGATCCCCGTGGCTCAGGAGAGAGATGCTGGTGTCTACACCTGCCGAGCCGTCAATGAGCTGGGTGACGCCTCTGCCGAAGTCCAGCTGGTGGTTGGACGTGAGTGTGCACTTGGCCCCCAGCCCCTCCCCTGTGAGGAGGGTGACTTCTGCTGTGTTGTGTGGAATCTGGGACACCAGGGCAGGTGTTGATTCCTGCTGGGTAGCAAGTTGTTCCTTGTGGCTGTGGCCTAAGCAATGAGCTACCCCGCCCCCCACGGTCTAATGCATCCCAGGCTGGCTTTGAACTCCCCAAGGCTGGCTAAGTGAGACATGATGGACACCAAAGCAGCCACACCAGATATGGGTCACCCCATCCAGGGCCTTTCCTGCATTTTCTCCTGGGGGACCAGTGAGAGGTTTTAGGGGAGAGAGCAGTCTGCTTAGACTCTGAGCACTGTGTCTGACTCTTGGGTTGGGTGAGAGACGAGGAGCCACCCAGCTCCAATGATAAAGATGCGAGCTGCCATGGCTGGGTATTTGCTGGCGCCAGGTGCAGACTCATCAATCTTCAGAGCTCCTGGAGGTGGAGCCGTCTATATCCCCTTTATAGAAATGAGGCACAGAGAGAGTAACCGGCTTGCAAAGCCACAAAGCTAGCGGAGGCAGAGCTGGGTTGTTGTTTTGAGACTTTGACCCCGCCTTTGGCCCTCATGTTTACCAACAGGGTGAGCGTAGGCATCCTCCCTCTCTCTGAGCTCCAAGTGCCCCTGTGGCAAAGTATCTCTGAGACGTGAACATGAAGTAAGGAAGGCTTTTTTTAAATATTATTTTTTATTTGTTTTAGAAGAGGCACATCATTATAGCTCTAATATGCTCAATAACAGTTTCCAGAGCAAAGACACAGCTCTTTCAAAAGTGGATATAAAATTTTTAGGTTTGCTGTTGAATTAATATAATTATGCAATATTGAACTCAGTATAGGCCCTGTAAGACATAAAATTGAATGAGTTTTTAATCTTTAACAAAGATCTCCATTTCATTTTAAAACATACTGTTTCTTACAGAAACACTCATTGTTTTTGCTACTAACACTGAGATATTGGCGCATGCGTCCCTAATCTGTATGTATCTGATTATTACCAGTCATAATCAGTTGCACTCAGATCCTTGGTGCCTGTGTATGTCTATAAAGTCATTAGGTAGATTTCAATGGTAATGTTTATCACCTCTGCTAATTAACATGACGTAAATTTCCATGCTTCCTCCTCAAATACATTTTTAAAATTTGCTGATTTGTGTGTGTGTGTGTGTGTATCACACAGAACATCCCAAACCATGTTATTCAACT